TACTCCTCTCCCCTGTTCTTAGCTTGGTTTCCCGGCAAGTCCTCCTTCCATTTCTGTTGGGGGCCATTGACTTGTCCCAGCCTTGTCTTGATGCTGTATAGCCCCAAGTGGATGGTTTTCTTCCATTTCTCCCGCATGAAGGAGAGACCCTAAACAAGGTGAGGTTTCCCCCTTCAAAGTGGCTCTTGTGAAGTGTGCAAAAGGGAGGTGATGTATGGTTCATGGCTGTTAGGTAGCCTTCTCCCCTTTTGTTCAGGTATTGGCCCTTACGATTTGTTTAATTGGTGCTTCACCTTATAGTATAGACTTACTCATACAATGCTTGTCCGTTTGTGTCTGACTTACTTCACTTGCATAGTGGTTTCCAAGTTCTTCCATGTCATGTGGTGTTTCAAGCTGTCATCACTAATTTTTAGGGATGCACAGTATTCCATTGTGTGTGTGTGCACCATAGTTTCTCTATCCATTCTTCCACTGTTGGGCATTTGGGCTGCTGCTTGTTTCCTGCTATTGTGAACTGTGCTGCTTTGAAAATGGGAGAGCATACATACACTCCTGTTGTGTCTCATTTCTTTATGACAGTGGTTCTCAACCTTTCTAATGTCGCAACCCTTTAATACAGTGCCTCATGTTGTGGTGACCCCCCAACCATAAAATTATTTTCATTGCTATTTCATCACTGTAATTTTGCTACTGTTAGGAATTGGGTGACCCCTGTGAAAGGGTTGTTCGACCCCTAAAGGGGTCACAACCCACTGGTTGAGAACTGCCTCTTTAGGGTATATACCTAATGGTGGTCTTGCTGGATCATTTGGGATTTCAATTTCCAGTTGCTTTAAGTATCACCATATCATTTTCTACAGCGGCTGTATGTTTACAAGTCCACCAACTTACGTGTTCTAGTCTCTCCACATCATCTCTAGCATTTGTTGTTTTCTGGGGTTTTGTTTTGTTTTTTAAATTTTGGGCTAGCGTTGTGGGTGTGTTGTGAATGGGCGAGATCACCCACACCACTGTATTAATAATTAAAGTCTTTGTTAAACAGCTGGACCAAGAGCAGGCTAGCTCCTGGAAAACCTCTTGATCCAGGACAAAGAAATTCCAAACTCTTTATAGTTCAAAATAGGGGCTGGCTCAAGGGAAGGGCTATTCTAGCCATTACATCCTTATCGGGTTGGCAGGGTAACAGGATTGGCGGGAACAGCACTGCTGGAGGTGCTAATTCAAAGTCTAATGTCCAAGATAGTGTACATTTCTTGCTAACTGGGCAGGCAGGGTTTGGAGACATCTTGGAAGAGGCAAGGTCTTGTTGGAAGAGCGGGAGAGGAAAGAGGAGAAGGAGGGCTAACTGTTGGCAAGGTTAGTTTGAAGCAAGATGTAGTTTCTCAGGTTAAGCTAGGTTGCTACAGTTGTGAAATGGTGTCTCATTGGGGTTTCAATTTGCTTCTCCCTGATGGCTAGTGATTTGGAGCTGCCGCTCCTTTGGGAATGGTGCCTCTCTCAGCAGTTTGCCGAATTTGCAATCTACTTTGAACCATAATCTTCCTTAGGGAAACAAACACTTCCTGTACTTGTTTTTTGCTCCATATTGGTTACATTGTGATTTAGTGATCTACAGTATTGGGGAAGTAATTTAGAGACCTCAAAATGTAGCCTGAATGTATGTGAAGGTACTGCATGGAGTTAGGCTTCCAATTGTAGGCCACAGCCTTTCACAAGCCAAATGCTGTTGGATTTTAGGTTCTAATGCAGATCCCATGGATCCATCTACTGATTCAGCATTTAAGAATTCATAGTCAGTCTTGTTCCGTTTACCTCCTCTTAATCCTATGTGTGGATCCACATTAAGAATTGTCAGATCTCACAGGGATCATTGATTGCTGGCGTTATCATCTGCCTCGATGACTGTAAATGCTGCCCCTCCTACTAGAGTTCAAGTATAGGAACTTTAGTCTTTCCATTTTGAAGATACAAAACCTGAGCCTCACTTTACCTCAGGAATTAATTCATGGGACTTTTGAGAAGTAAACTTCATACAGCATTGCTTCAGTAAGTAGTAAAGTTTGGTCAGCAGCAATGGTTTTTAATAGTAATACAACTTTGTTGCCCGAAACTTCAAAAATACTAATCTCCCCCAAAATAAAAAACAAAACAAATACTAATCCCCTCATCAGTATCAGGTATGTCACTGCTGGCTGTATTCTCAAATAGACATGATTGTGTGTGCTGGAAGCTGCCTGCCAACAGCCTTCTCTTTGACAGAGGTCAGGATTTTTGTTTGTATTTGAGTAAGAGGAAGCCTCTTCATTTGAAATTTGGCTCCTTTAGCCTGAGATCAGGACAGGCGGTCAGAGCAGGTAGGCTCACACTGCTAGATTTTTATCCAAGGTTCATGTCACATATTAGTCTGTCCTCAGTGGATATGAGGACAGGCGAATGTGGATCTGCTTCCTGACAGACTGCTTCTGGGAGGGGACCATTTGCCCTTCACATTCCTAGTGTCTCCTTTGCTCCAGTGTTCAAATTTCCTTTGATCCCCCTTGACATTTTATGCCCTGCAATAACCTATTGGGGATACTCCATGTCCACACTGATTTCCCACTGACCAGGGCTCTCCTGAAAGTTACCACCATTCTTGCCCAGGGGGCCTTTCACCTTGGCACCCGATTCCCAGGACTGTGGAACTTGCTGTGCAAACAAACTGAATAGGTGCTGTCATTTATTGGGCTGCCTTTGCTGCACCTCACAGTCACTGAGTGATGTTTGAAATTAGCCATCCAAGTTCCCGCTTTAGAGCAACAGCAGTGGCACATTACCGAAGTTAATGGCTGTAACGCCCTGGGATCTGGATTGGAGGCTTCATCAGGTACCCACCAGGGACGGCTAAAAAGACAAATCTGTCTTGGAAGCAGTATGGCAAGAGTGCTCCCTAGACGAAGTCTGAGATGGTGATCCTTCATCCGACATACCTCAGACATGTTGTCAGGAGAACCAGCCCCCGGAGAAGTGCGTGGCAAAGTGGAGGGGCCGTAAGAGAGAGGAAGACCCTCCAGTAGCTGGAGGGACACCGCAGCTGCAACACAGGGTGGTACACGCCTAAGAACAAATGCCAGGGCAGCACGGGACCAGGCAGTGCTTCCTGCTGTTATGCGCAGCGTCTCTACGGGTCAGAAGCGACTTTCAGGCACCCAAGGGCAGCTACAGGTGCCCACATTCTGCTGGAGGGTGCCCTTGGGAAAGCACTTTAAATAGACTCCAAACGGAATCTGTTATTATCTTGCTGATCATGCGTCTGTGACAGAGTTTCTGTGTCTGCTCTCTGTGAACCTGTGAGTCTGGTGTAAGCTCTCTGGATTTTAGATTCTGTCTTTCCAAGGTATGCAGCATTCTTCCAAGACCACATCAGAATTATGTGATTTGAAATCCCCGAAGGTCGGGCTCAGCAAACTTGTGAGACAGAAGAGCCAATCCTGTCTCTCACAACAATTTAAAAATTATTTGAGAGCCATAAAGATATTTCTGCAGACAAATGAAATCACCATTATCCGGATAATATCCTTTGAGAGTTTTCAGTTTTTCTTTGAGCCTCGTGTAAGTACCCGAAGAGCAGCCTGTGTTTCTGGGGCCTCAGGAACATGACTTACCTGAAACTCATCTGTTGCAGATTAAGGGAACTGAACTAGTGCTTTGGGCCTTGGTTGGAGGACCCTGGACCAATCTTGTAAGCCCTTCTGTGTAACATAATGCACGTGCCCCAATTATGGTGCTGTTCCTGCTTCTGTGTGTAATCCCACCTGTAACTGACATATTGATCTGGCACCACTCATGCTTTTGTGACAGTTTCTTTGCCCTTCGCTGCTCCTTTTAAAGCTGTATCTCAACAAACCCTTGGACTCTTCCTAATGGCCTCCCTCATCAGGATGATGTGTTTGTTTTTGTTTCTTTTAAGACTTAATAAATGTACTCCTTAAGTTATATTTGAGATGAAGTCTCTTTTGTATCCTAAAACAGAAGTCAATGGACTTTGGTTTAAATGTCTTTCTTTTGACGTTGCTCAATAATCGGCAACTTAAGACTACCATGTACTTGCTATTTTCATTTCGTTTTCCTTTTTTTTTGGGGGGGGGGTATGTGTCCTGCAGACATCATTTTGTGTTAGTGGCTGTGTATTATTGGAATGTTTGCCTTGGTTCTAGCCCTGATAGCATTCTCCTTTTCAAAAAATGAAACCAGATTTTGTTTCCTGGTTTCTTGCATATGAAATATTCTTTGATGAAATTCTTGACCTGGGATTTATCATCATCATTAAAAACCAAAACTCACTGCCATCCAGTCAATGCTGACTTATAGCGACCCCTTGTGAGTTTCCAAGATTGTAACTGTTTACGGGAATAGAAAGCCCAGTTTTTCTCCAGGTGCTGGCGGTTTTGAACTGCCAACCATGTTGATTGCATCTCAAGGCATAACCACTACGCCACCACATAACTGCATCCAGCCACGTTTGGGGTTTCTCCTTCTCCGTCAGTTTTGCAGAGGCCTACCCTGGTGGCATAGCGGATACATATTGGGCTGCTTCAAGGTCAGCGGTTCAAAATCACCAGCCACTCAGCAGGAGAAAGGCACTTTGTACTCCCATAAAGAATTACAGTCTTGGACACTCTCGGGGCCAGTTCTACCCTGCCTTACAGGGATGCTGTGAGCCGGCGGTGTTGACTGGATGGCAGACAGTTTGGTGTGTTCAGGACCTACTCCCCGACGTTCTTGTGGTCAACACCTTAATTAGGTAGATTTGGGTTCAGGACTTGGGGCCTCCATTATCTTGACATAAATAGGCTCATCACTGTTGAATGCTCGACCCAAATAGACAGATTCTCTGTTGATTGAAGAGGTTGTGAGAAGTCAGGATCCTTGCTGAAGAGGCCTACATTGGGAGCCCACCATAAAGGATCCAGCAGCGTCAAGCAGCGTCTTTCTCCCACAGGTCCTAGATGCCCGGGCACGAGGCACCTTTTATAAGTGAGGATTGAAGATGTCATCCCGTAGGCAGCAGAGATCCATCAGGAGATGAAAGAACTTCCCTCTGGCTCTGTGGCAGATGAGGCAGGCAGTGGATTAACTGTTGGTCCTTGTGTTCCCAAAGAGCAGGACTGGGTATTTTGGCTTCAAAGAACAGGGAGTAATGGACACCAGGAGGAGCCTGGCAAAAGGTGAGAGTTGTAGAGGGTCTGGGTGAGGGGAGGGGGCCAAGGCTCCAGATTCAGGTGAGACTGCTTTAGTGGTTGCAGCTGAGTAAAGTAACTCCCATCCTCCCATCCCACGATCAAAAGAACTAATCGGGGAGCATTATGGGTGATGCTTATTCTCACAGTTTCTCTTTCTACCCTTAGGTTTGTCTGCTATGAGTACTGACTGTCCCCAAGAGAGGAGGAGGATGCCTCAGGTACTGGTGAGTTGAAATTAGTTACCTTATTTATCTTCACTGCTGGTTCATTTCCAAGCGAATAGGCTTATATTCTGTGTCCTGGGTAGGGATATGGCATCCAACATTTAGACAGTTCATAGATTTGTGCTATTTTAGGGATTTTTGCATTTTATGTTCCCTGTTGGGAGAAACACCTAAGGTTAACACTAAGAATCCAGCAAACTCTGTAAGTCATAAGGAACAGTAAATCTGTGTTTTCTTTCCATCTTTTGCTGCTTCCTGCATATTCAATATTTTCCCCATAGACTCCTCCAGTGTTTCAACTCCAGGCTTGAATTTTTCTTGAGTTTGTACAGTTTAAGTTAAGCTAAGCATGCTCTTCCTTTTTGGTTTTCTAAGAATGTACATCTCATATATTTTACATTCTCTTCTTGTGCTGCCTTTTGAAAAAAAATTTCAGCTCTTTGATTTCATTTCTTCCACGTGCCTTCATTTCTCTATGACTGAAAGCAAGTCTGAGAGTCCCTTCTGACATCCATGCTGATCTTTCTTTCGCGTCTTGTTTAAGAGCCTTTGCGTTCTTCCTGCATGATGCCCTGGGTGTCCTCGCACAGCTTATCTGGTCTCCTGTCTTCAGTGCTCGGTGTGCCAACTCTGTTCTGGAGATGTTTTCCAAATTCAGATGGGGTAAATTTCAGGGTGTATTTGGCTCTTGTGAACTTGTTTTTCTTCAGTGTCAACCTGAACTTTTTTTTGTCCCAATATTTTTATTGACATAATTCACATGTCACACAATTCCAAAGTTCAGTCATATCAAGGGGAGTTGCACAGTCACCAGCATCCAGTACTCAGTTTCAGACAATCTGAGCTTAAGTATGCGCAATTGATGACCTGTTGCACAGTCAGTGTCTGTCCCGGTGTTATCTGCTAATAGCGATTTCTCCATCATCCCATCACAAATGTGGTCAATTTGACTTCAGTGTCTTCTATCTGGAGAAGTCCATGTGTATAAGTGGCTTTCAAAAAATCATTTTATTAGGGGCTCATACAACTCTTATCACAATCCATATATACATCAATTGTGTGAAGCGCATTTGTACATTCATTGCCCTCATCATTCTCAAAACATTTTCTCTCCACTTAAACCCCTGGCATTAGGTCCTCATTTTTCCCCTCCCTCCCTGCTCCCCTCTCCCTCATGAGCCCTTGATAGTTTATAAATTGTTATTGTGTTATGTCTTGCCCTGTCCGACGTCTCCCATCACCCACTTTTCTGTTGTCCGTCCCCCAGGGAGGAGGTCACATATAGTTCCTTGTAATCAGTTCCCAAAGTGGCCTTTTGTATTGTTGAGAAAAGGTCTTTTCCATGATGTTTGGTAGGGGTAACAAAAGCTAAGGCTAAAGACGAATATTAAATAATTCACTGCATTGTAATCCCTCCTAAAATGGTTGAATGTACCCAGTTTGTAGAAGGCTACAGAGGACAGGGAGAGCCCAAACCCATCTGCAGAGTATCTGGTGAGACTGAGCCCATAATTTTCAGCAACATTTGTCAGTTCCTTGTAGCCATTGCAGTGGATTATGGGAGTCAGATAATAAGTAGAGACTGCCTTGGCGGTGGGATGATTGAAGGGTGACGGTATGCCTCACTTCAGTCTCATAGGAAGCAGTCTTGAGTGATGCTGATGTCGAGTTTAATTTTCTAACCCTTGTGAAGTTAGAGGAAGTGAGGAGGCGTCATTTTATTTCTCTATACAAGTATCATACGATCAAAAACTGATGGCATTCCAAGATGGCTAAGGTGTCTTGAAAGCACTAGTAAAAAACAAAACTCTAGGAATTGTCAGAAAAGAAATGAGATGTTTCAACAAATGGATGCAAGGTTAGAGGCACTCATTTGTCTCTGTCCAGAAATTTGGATATTTGGAAGACTACTCCTTGACCAGTCCAGTGGAAGATATATATATAGAGATAGATATAGATATTATAAATTATGGAAGTGTCATTAATATAATACCCAAGCAAAATTTTGTTGAAGATCATTCAAAATTTATTGTACCAATACATGGACAGGGAACCAGAAGAAACTCAACTCAGGTTCAGAAGAGATCATGGGACAAGGGTTACCATTGTTGACATCAGATAGATTGTAGTTGGAAGTAGAGAATAGCAGAAAGTTGTTGAGTCACTGTGTGTATCATAGCAAGTAATGGATACCGTTGCAAAGAATGGGAATTCCAGAATACTTATTTGTGTTCATGAAGATCCTATTTATAGATGATCCTATTTATGGAAGGACTTGCTCTGCAGTCCTTCCAGCAGAGCAAGGGGATTCTTCATGTTTAAGGTCTGTGAAGATATGCATCAGGATTGTATTCTTTAGCCACACTTAGTCACATAATCTGAGGATCAGGGCTATGTGAAGAAGAGTGTGGAATCAGGAGTGGGGGCTGGGGAGGGTGCAATAACACATCTGCAGTATACAGACGACACAAAGACCTTACTCGCCGAAAGCAACGTGCCTTGAAGGGTTTCCTGATAGAAATCATGCTCGGCCATCAATGTGGATTACGTTTCCACATAAAATAAAAATCTGAACCAGACCAAAAGGCAACATCATATGAATGGAGGAAATATTACACAAGGATTCCATTTTCCTTGTATCCAAAATCAATGCTGCAAGTGACCAAATCAGATGATCTGTTGTTTAGACAAATCTGCTGCTAATCACTTCTTTTAACATGCGAAAACCAAAGATGTCATTTTGAGGACTAAGTTGCCTGTAACTCCCCCTGTGTAATTTTCGATAGCCTCATATGAATGTGAAAACAGAGAAAGAATAAGGAAGAGCAAAGAGTTGACACATTTGGATTATGATATTGTGAAATAATGAATAGGCCCCATACTGCTATAAGAAACAATAAATCTTTCCAGGAAGCTGTACTGCCAAACTGCTCCTTAGAAACAAGACCTCATTTCATGGGCTTTGGACATGGAATCAGGAGGCACCAGTCTCTGAAGGAGGGGGTTCAACAAAGTGGTTGACACAGTGGCTGCAGCATCAGGCTGAAACATAGCTATGATTGCGAGAATGGCTAAGGTATTTCCATCTGTTTTGCAACACTTGAAATGATACTGAAGCAAATCAGCGTCCAATTAGAACGTCTCAGAAACTCACAGGGCAAGTCTGTTACCCTATAGGGTTGCTATGAGTCAGCAGTGACTAGATGGAAGTTAGAATCAGAAATGTGTTTGTGGACCCTCAAACAAAACGCAATGCCATAGCGTTGATTCTGAGTCATGTTTACAGGGTGGAAGTGCCCTTGTGTGTTTCTGACACCTTGACTTGTTTCTTTCTTTTTTTAACTTCTTTCTTTATTTAAAACCATTTTATTGGGGGCTCGTACAACTCTTATCACAATCCATACATCCATCCATTGTGTCAAGCACATTTGTACATTTTTTGCCATCATCATT